TGTGGGCTCTTTTTTTTAAATGATTACCCTAGACAATTAATCTACTCTGTTTTATCACACAATCTAGCAACAAAGCAAACTTGGAACCATTGTTAGTGAAGAGGGTTTAAACCTTTCGTTGTAATAGCTTGCACGATTCATTGATTAAAATTGAAGTGAATATTTTATCGAAAATAAACAAATAAATATTCTTACAAAGAAAGTTTAGAACAGTGTTTAATTAAAAAAAAATGTTTTTGTATCGTAAATTTTAAATTACGAAGTTTAAAAAAACAATTTTAAAGTTATTTAAAATATTTCACTTTAGATGCAAACGAAATAGTTTAAAAGTTACAGGTAAACTAAAATCAAGAGATCTTTTCAGTGAATGATGTTAAAAACTTCTTTTTATATTATAACCTTCTTAATATATTATAAACTTATTTTAGTATTAAATAGCACTTGAAATTTGATTCGCAAAAGTGATGGAATGTTTTAAAAAATGTGAATGAAAGGTTTTAAGAAAGAAAAGTAAATCATTAAGTTTTTCGAGGGTAAATAAAAACAAATTTTAAAAAAAAGTATATTTACAATTAAAATGACATTTTTTTTCCGAAATTACTTCTGCTGAAATAGTGGATATATTTGAGTTCCATTATAAAAATAAAATGTAGAGAGCTGTGATTGGCTAACAATCGAAATTTATCAAAGTGAAATGAAACAAAAATTTTCCCATAGAGTTACTATGGAACATCTTACAGATTCTCAGAAACAAATTCCTTGCATTGAAAATATATTTTAACTATTCACAAAATGAGTGCCAAATATGCTTGTGAACTTTCATCAGTATTTGGTATTTTTTATCATTAAATACTAGAAAACTACAAACTTTCCTTCCAAAAAAAAATATTTTTTGCTAGAAAATTGTTTCTTATAGAAAATTTCTGACCGAACTCGAAGTAAAATTTCATGCTTAAAAAGTCGAATCAATTTATCGACAGTTATTGCAATTTTGACGTAGTTTTGTGGGCTGGTAAGAAATTGAGACTCTGTATAGACATAAACAGATCGCGAGTTAAAATCCCCGAGTCGTCAGGCTAAACATGGGAGGTTTTGGTGGTTTTCCTCTCCCTGTAATACAATTGCGGGTTAGTTCCATCTAAAAATCCTCCATGAAGGCAAATTTCTCCCAATACTTGATCCAAGCGTTACCTCATCTTCTAGATTGGGTTCAAAATTTCGAGGCCACGGAGTTGAACATTAGTAGTCGTAAACCTTACAATTGTGTCTGCTGTTCAACGACGGTTATGAAAAATAAATTAAAAAAAAAAGAGATTCTCATAAGATTTGCTATCTTGATGAAGAATGTCAAAGCAGCACCCTGTTCACTAAAATGATTGCCAACTTTGCTTTGAAGATTCTAAATATAGTCTGTTTTTTTTTCTCGTCACATTAAAATTTCAAAAGCACTACTCCTTTTACTCAACTACATTTACTGATCTGAAGTATCACAAAAAAATCAGATCACTATTAAATTTGTTCCCATAAAAGTTTTGCACTCTAAGAATGTCACTAAGAAGAAGAAGAAGAAGAAGAAGGGCTGTAATGAAAGAGATATGCACTGTAAAAGGCTCACAGAAATCGGCAACCTTCGCTCATGAAAACACGATTTTATATATTTCAGTATTATTCCTTGCTCTATTTTTCTTTCTGCTATTAACAAATGCGTTTTCTAAAGAGAGTTTACTTTCATAAGTCCTCTTATGAAAATCTGTAAATGAATTGATATTTTAATAAAAATTATTGATACTTTACTGCAACAAAGAAAGTCATAAAAATTAATAATTTAGATTTGTAACCGGACATGTTATCCTTTTCACTAGAATAAATAGAATTTTGAAAAAGCTTTTCTTGAAGAAACGTTGTCTGCACTTCTGAACGATTCCTCACGTATTATCACCGTCTTGCATTAAAATGCGAACATCTCTTTTTTATAAAAAATTCTTTTCAAAAATAAGGAAAATAATTATTATAAAACATATTGAATTTTTTTGCAAACGTTTCATATCATTTTAGTTCAAACCAACAGCTTTATTTCATTCTTTAAAAGCAAAAATTTAAAGAAATTTCTGTTGTAATTTTTCATTTGAAAATTGGTTATTTATCTTGTACTAATTTTCACTCTTGTACTAATTTTCAAGGAAAAGAATTTTCTTATTAAACACGCTTTTCCTTTATGAACTTTTATCGCAGACGAGTATTATATCATTTTAGTTCTAATCAACAGCTTCATTTCTTTCTTTAAAAACACAAATTTAGGGACATTTCTGTTGTAATTGTTTATTCTGAAATTGGTTATTCATCTTGTATTAACTTTGAACTAAATTTAATCTAAATAATTTTTTTCCGTTTAATTATTTTTATCAGCGGTTCTCAAAAGGTGAGTTAGAATCAGGATATTTTTTTTAACCAGTAGTAGTTATATTTCTATCCAATCCATAAATTATTTAATATTTTGCTTGTTTATATGAACTTTTTTATGCAGTGAAAAAAGTATCGAAATAAGTAAGAGTGGTGAAATAGTGTTATAGAAAAGTAGGGAAAGAATTTTTTTCCACCAATAATTGTATATTGAATGAAAACGATTTCTAAAAATTCAATAAGTATTTCTCATCGAACTCTCTAATTCACAAAAACTAAATTTAAGAATGAATAATTATGTTTCTCAACGTTTGTTCTTCATTGCAAACCGCGCTTGTTTATTTCATAATAATAAAGAAGCTGGGGTTCTGATTTAAAATTACTTCAAATTAAATGCGGTATTAAATAGATTTCACGAGTAGAACAAGATTGCCGATTCCTTATTCAAATCACTCTTTTTGAAGCTTTTAAAAAAAGAAGAAGCAATTATTTCATCAAAGTTTCCGCAGGAAATCTTATCATTTAAATATTTTTGGAGCAAGAAATTCACAAGGGAGACTTTTCGAAAGAAGTTGAACACAGTTGTTTAGAGTGAAAGCTCGATATTCACAAAAAGCATTTTCGATGTATCCACAACTGCGAAAAATAAAATTCTCACTTATTTTCGGCGTTTTCGAATTAAATGTTGATTCACCATCATAACAGAGAGCTTTTGGAGACTTTAAAAAAAATGGTTGAAGGTAGAATGAATCGGATGCACGCAAAATTGAAATCAATTGCGAAACTCCCTTGAGGGACTTTTTGAAGTCCAAAAAATTAACTATAATCGTCAAAAAAAGCGCCAAGTTTAGATCAAATCAAAAGTAACTTAACATTTTTAGGTGAGGAAAAAAAAGTTTTCATTGATAACAATAATGGTTTAACTGAAGTTATTTTAGAAAGCAAATATTGTGAGAATGTTTTGCTTTAAATTCTGGCTATTCAGATAATAATTTAAGAAAATTCCGTTTTAAAAACTATCACGATTTTTTTTTCACTCGTTTATTTAGCCTTTTAAATGAATCCCGGGTAGTTTTCTCACAACAGCGATTCCGGCACTTTTATTTTTCTTATTACTGTAGAGTTATTTAAACAGAAAATCTTCGATGAAATGATTGCTTTGATAATCCTCCCCCACCAAAAAACAATGATGCATACATAATTTATTCATACATTTTCAAAACAGATCAATGGAATAATATTCTGGAATATTCCCTTTGGCTGTATTACAGGGTTGCACGCCTTACAAAGTGAAAAAAAAAAGTATGTATAAAAAAATGCAGTTGTATATGGTCCAACATCATCGCAGCTGCTATCTTACAAATTGAAAAAAAAAAGAAACTTTAAAGCATACCTCACTACACAAGAGTTAAACAATCCCAAAACAGATTTGGGAAAAAAAGAAATGTATTCATCTTAAGGCTGCTTTTTTCTGAAGCTCTTTCAACAATAGAAATGAACCTTAAACTCGAGCAAAAAGCTTTAAGTTTTCATTATCTAAGCTTTCTCGCGGTAATGCATTGACCAAAATTATAAAACGATAAATATCTTTAGGAATATTAAACGTTTTTTTTATAAATCAGTAATTTGGTGAGATTTTTTTTTCCACGTAGATGACTGAAGGTCAATGAATAATTTTAAATTTTTGTATATTTTTATGAGTGATTCAGTGTTAGCGTAATTTAAAATTATTAAAAAATTAAATCAAACGATTTTTTTTTCATTTTAAAAGCATTTAAAGTTTCCTCCTTATAATACTTCGCTACCAGCATAGAGAACGCTTGCTTAAGATAAACAAAACTTAACAGTTACCTGTTGAGTTTTGTTCGTCTCTGAAGTTTAGAATAACTTATGACAGCCTAGTATTCGTGGTCATGACAAAGAAATAAAATACTATTCTAAAAATAGGCTTCTTCTTCTGAAGTATAATCATCACCTGGGTTTTGAGGATCCTTCTTCCACTACGGTTTTGAACAAGATAAGCACACATACACATATTATTACATTGATTACAAAGGAAGACTGTGAGAAGAATTATTGCTTAAATTACACAAAATAGTCCTTTTTTCATGCAAAAATACACCAAGTATTAGTTTACCACATTATGCTTCGTTTGATTTGGTAACATTGGACTGCAAGGCTAAAGGAGTATAAGGCTAAATCTTTCTGTACAAACTTCCTGTACTATTATTTTTTTCACAGTTAACAAATCTTTTTTGTTTCTTTTACTAAACAGAAATACATCATCGTTTACACTATTAACAAAAAATTTCAATGATGTGTGAACATAAGAGAGTTATTCAGAAGCTACAATGCTTTTATTTAGTGTATTTTTGCACATGATGTATCACCGATATTTATTTATTTTTTTTTCGAAATAGGATGACAATCTATGACGTAGAATATCCCCTCTGTGTTAAAATGATTCTTCACCTGAAGATTCGTTTATTATGCATTTTTATTTATTTTATTTATTCAGATTTGCATTGCGTGTAGATTGAAGATATTCAAGTGTTCCAGAGGATATGGTATACATATCTGAGGCACATTAAGGTTCATACCTGGGAAAGAGTAGCCAAAGCTAGGGTAGCCAGGAATTCCTCGACCATAGCCGAACGTCGTGAATCCCGCTGTGGAAGAAAAAAAAATCTTAATCTAAAAGTAATTATCTAATAAGGATTCACACATTAGTTAGATTATTTGATCTTTATAATTGGTAGACCTCGTTTATACACAGAGCGTGACTAAGGACGAGGCACCCAAATCGAATAGAAGGTTTATTTTAGGCTTCCTTCTTTAATGAACGTTTTTTTTAAATAAAATATCAATACAGTGTAAAATCCGCCAGTTTTTGTATGAACACAAAAAAAAATCTATATTTCGTAAATTCATGGCTTTCTGGCGAGGAATTCAGCTAAATTTCCGATGACGACGGACACATTTGGCCAATCAAATGCCTTTTCATTTTACATATCACAAAATGGGATATGTTTACAAAAATACAGACTTCTGATTGGCTAAATTTAGCCATCGTAGGTGCGAAAATTTAGCTGAATTCCACCCTATTGTTAACAAGGATATGAATTTTTACATCAATACAGTGTAAAATCCGCCAGTTTTCGTATGAACACAAAAAAAAATCTATATTTCGTAAATTCATGGCTTTCTGGCGAGGAATTAAGCTAAATTTCCGCAATGACGATGGACACATTTGGCCAATCAAACGCCTTTTTATTTTACGTATCGCAAAATGGGATATGTTTACAAAAATACAGACTTCTGATTGGCTAAATTGAGCAATCGTAGGTGCGAAAATTTAGCTGAATTCCACCCTATTGTTAACAAGGATATGAATTTTTACATGCTACATGACAAAGTTAACATTCAGAAAACTGCATCTGGCATAATGGCTTAGAAATGTCAGAAAATCAATAAAATAGACCGAACGATCTTTCGTTTGACTATTGGAGGGAGGGGGACATTTGTAGATATTTTAGGTTCTAGTCAATTTTCTTGTTGCATAATGAGGTGAAAAATTTAAATGCCTCCATAAAGTTTGGTTCTGTATTACTGAAAGAGTGAAGCAGAGGGGGACCACAAATTTTTTTTTATCCCGGACTCCAGTTTAGCTAAATCGGGCCCTGTTTATACATAATATACAGCGAAAGCACAAGATATAGTTCGTTCACCAGGAGTTGGCACTTCGCTTCACCTCCTCAGACGCAGAGTTCACTTTAGAGCGGGAGTAAAGAAAGAAATGTCGCCGCGCTTTAAATTGAGACAACCTTTAATGCTCGCCAAACACAAACAGTGACTCCTTTTTCAGTCACTTACTTCGCTTTATCATCCGCTATTATATCTTTCGTTTCTCTAGTTAATGAAATATATTTTAAATTTAAAAACTGCTGTTTTCCCAGCAAAATGCCCCAAAAAAGATAAACCATTCTCAGAAGGAAGAAACATCACAAAAAATTGCACGAAATATCATCAAATTTATGAAACATTTAATGTTAAGACAATGCAGATAACGTTTGCGAAATAAATATTTTTGCCATACGATTGTCAAAATAACAACCTTGTTCAAGATTGCTCACAGCGTTTTCTCAAAAATAGCGAAATAATGTCGTCGCATACCACGTGAAGATGAAGGTGGAGCCAAGTGCCAACTCCTGGTGAACGAACGATAATGGGAGTAAACATAACATGCATAAGAACGAGATCAAGTACGATTCTCCTATTTTTTATAAATATAAAAAGCCGTTTTTTTATTCACACTACTTAAAAGTTTAAAGTTTGTTTCACCGTTAATTTGCCGATGCAGTTTGGAGAATACTGAGACAGTTTTTGTTAGAAACCGTTTGTAAGAGACAGTTTTTCTTCGCTCGTTATTTCCAACTTCATCTTTCTCCGCATCAAAGAGCTGAATCACCTTTCGGCTAATTGTTCCAGCCAATTAGGGAACCGGTACCAAGTCTAGGCAACGTGAGTGTGTTTGTATTTATTGGATCAACAGGCTTGTATGCTCAATTTAGGCTTATAAACCTTTATCAAATAGAATGACAGATAGCTGCCAATCGAAGTTTAATCTATCAGCAGACATCAACTAAAATTTTAAACTTTTTTTCTTATGATGAAGTGTAAAATAAGGTTCAAAGAATTCTCAAGTACATGACTAGGAACTAGAGGGACAGTGATCGAATCGAAGATTTCGAGATTACGTAGAAAAACAAACAACTTTTAATACGACGTAAATATCATTGAAAGAAAATGCGATTCGTTTTTCTAAAGAAAAAAAAAAGAGAAGTATTAAGAATCTTGTGCGTATCGGACTCCTTAACTTCACTCAGGTGAAAATAATATATCGTCAAGAACTTTGAGACTGCTCTTCTCGGCTTGCTCATGACAGTAACAAATAGCCAGAAGGAGCTTTTAAGCGTAGTCCAGTACTACAGCAGACTGCTTTGTCCAAAATGGACACCTAAAATAACTTGAGTTAACTAATTGGTCAACTTGAGTTACCGATCACTTGCCTAGTGGTTACTGTACTGGACTACGGGCCCGGTAGTTGTGGATTTGAATCCCACAGTAGGCAAGGATGTAACTTTCTCTCTCAAGTGTTCAATGTCTTTTTCTACCCGCCCTATAAACGAGTTTGTGGTTGTATGACGTGGGAGACGCTGCTCCACCCGTCACCGCGGCATAAGGCGCATGTGACCACTGGGTGAAAGAGTATATTCTGGCCTATAGTATAATTTCTGAGACCCAAGTGCCAGCCATTTTATTTTATTTTATAACCGTCGTTGAACAGCCGACTCAATTTTACGGGTTTACGACTATCAATGTTCAACTCAGTAGCCCTGTCATTCTGAACCCAATCCAGAAGACAAAGGAGCTCCTTTATCAGTACCCCCAGAGGTATTGATTTGTTATGGCAACATGGAGGACTTGGGCCCATTATAAAAAAAATAACTCGATGACATGAAACCACCATTCCCAATTGTAGCAGGCTTTTCCCGTGGTCTCAAAGACCGTGGCATGGTTCTAAAGTTACGGCCTTCTGCTCACTTTAATAATATATTCTCCTTTCATCGCCCATATGACAACAACAGAATTCCAAATGAAACGAACAATAAAATTCGAACACTTACCGTCTGTGAGAGCTCCTAAAGGCCAGACCAGGTCTTCACATGTTGTTTGAAAAGAAACAGATTAAAACGTATGGATATGCTTTTTTTTAAAAAATGAAATAATACATACATAGAATAATATATACATCAAATAGTACGTATGCATATGCCCATAGGCTGTACGTCTTAAGTTAGAGGATTCGAATGTGGAAAAATACGATAAAAAATGAAAATTAAAGACATTTATTACAATAAAAGAAATTTCTAGTCTTTTTTTATAAATATAAAATTTTGAATTAAAAAGAAATAGATTCTCTTCGACAATTTTTTAAAAACAACTTTGCTTTGTGTGCCTTATTCAAAAAATGATGAATGATCTTTTTTAAGGCTTCTCTTTCGATTTATTTTTCTTAACTAAAATCAAGCTGCTTAAGTTTAGGCTGAGTCGTTACGAAACCGAACAACTCCGTTTAATATATTGTCGTAGTTGGTCAAGTTTGAAATACTTTCTTTTTTTTTGGCATGTTTCCACTTGGTCAAATGCTTCGAAGAACATAGTAGAAATAAAAAAAAATTTATTTTATATATAGTACAGTACAATTAGACATTTTCTCCAGGAAAATGAATACCCAAGATTTTATGTTATGCTACCCGAAAAATTCTCTCTGTACGCTTTTTTCTTGCTTGAAAGAATTGTGGTGATTGAGGAAAAGAATTGAATTTCACCATAATGTCACGGTTACGTTTTTGTACACCGTTATTTTCGTTCACCGTTATTTTTTCACCGTGAATTGAGTGAGACCGATACCGAGACTCATGTATAGCGATCATACGATTCAACGTAAGAAATACACAAAGAAACAATGCCTCACTTATTTAGTTAATTAATGGTTCGGGGGTGAATATGCTAATTAATTTGCGAAGACGATATTTTAAGCTATAAAATATCGGACACAAAAACGTGCTTTCTCTGACTAAGCATGTCTTTGTTCTTAGGACGTGAAATTCGGATCATTAAATCAAAAGTTATTCGAGATGATTTGCTTCTTTAGAGCATTGTACAAAAGAAAATGGCACATTTTCTCGAACCACATTAGGGAGTGAAAATTCACGATACTTAGTTATATGAGAACCACACTCTCCAACTAACTCACTTTTTTGTGTTGTTTTCCAGAGGTGTCATTTTGTTTTAAAGATATTTATAATCAAACTGTTTGCAAATGTAGCGCAAAAACATTTGACGCAGCTGGAGCGGACATTTTGGCAAAAATAAAAGCTTATATAAAATAATAATAATAAAAGAATCTCAAGCCTATTATCCTACCACGAGAAGTGCTGTTGGGCATCATCACCTCTTTGGGTTGAGCTTTTTTGCATTCCACCTGAAACATACAACAAAAAGGTTTACAAAACAATCCACGGAATGCAGAAAGTATGCGCTCAAGAGTTTTGTTATTCAATAACAGAATTTCAATTCTTTTTCACCAATATAAGAAAGGGAGTCTTTTATCACGTGATAGAAGTGGGGCTTTAATGTTTTACGCCATGAAGCGCCATGTTTTAGAAAGAAAATTACGATAAATATTTTTTTTATAAAGTTTTGAACATTTCAGTTCTTTAGAGAAGATTCCACGAAGCTTTGTTATTTCAGTTGCAATCATGCAATTCCCACTTCTATGCCACGATTAAAGTATATCGTGCCGTAAAATTTTAACGTCATCCATAGAGTTGAAAAAAACCTTGTGACCATCGCATATAGATCCACATTCTTGCTCTCACCCAGTTAGCAAAATAAGGTTTATTTTAACTCGGCAAAAACTTGTTAATGTGAAACTAAAAAGGTTTTTATGAGGTTTGCGTGTAAACCTTCTAACCTCTAAACGAGATCTGCGACTATCTGCTCTATTCTACCCACATTACCCAAATCCAGAATCTTGGAAAACAACTTTCTATATTAAAACCTGAAAAATCAAGGTTGTCTTACGATTTTCAAGCGTGAAAAAATCCTTGAATAAGGCATGACTTAAGGTAAAAATAATCGTTAATCGGGGGTTATATAAATCGGTCATTATAAGGTTTCTTTTCGCAAAGTCTTGTATGCTCAGCTACCTAAGTGATAATACTATTTAAAAAAGCTTTAAAAATAATGCTTAATTCTTTTAGGATGAAAGGTATGAAACTGCAATATTTTTCCTTTATTGAAAAAAGGTTTTTAGTGTAAACATTTTCTTGACAATAAAGAGTTAATTCCAACACAAGGTTGTCTTAAGGTTACATGCTTTCTCGATGTTTATCACTGAAATAATGGAAACAACTTTTCCGGCAATTTGTAGACAACAATTCGCATTCTTGTTGTCGCAGAATTTATATCAGCGAACTTTTATAGAACTGACAAAATCAGATTTTTTATTAAACTTTAAATACATCGTGCATCTTCACGTTTTAAAAACTCATTTTATAGAACCGTTTGCTTCATTAAAGATATCACAAAAACTTCCTTTCGTTGTCATTGGCTGACATACATCGAAGAGCCATTACATTATGACCACCCTGCTAATAACATGTAGGACCACCTTTAGCCCTCAAAACTGCTAGCACCCGCCGTGGCATTGATTCCACGAGGTGCTGATAGGTAGTCTGAGGTATCTGGTACCAAGCGCTCACCAACTGGTCCTGCAATTCCCTCACATTG